CCTACAGATCCCATTATTACTATGCCTGAGAGTCTCACTTCAGGCTTTCAGTTGAATGGCAAATGAGAATCTCGGTTGCTCTGTGCTCCATCTGCAGTCAATAGCAAGTGATGTAGGGGCAAATCGTATCTCATGTGGGCTACCTCACGTGGGCTGTGAACCGCAGTCTGCAAATGCTGATCCCCTCCATTAACTGCAATCAGAGACTAACCCAAACTAATTCAGCTATGTAGGGTAAATGTCTAAAATTGCACAGTCCTACAGCAGTCATATGAATGCACCCTGTCATTTGCTCAGGCTGGTGTGTTTGAAATGCTCTGTCACCTGTTCCTGGAAGCTGGGAGAATACATTCAGGGCTATTCATCAGATTTTTTTCATGGCAAGCTGCAGGTTTATGCATACAGAGCTCATCTATCTGAACCTTTCCTTTCAGCAGAGGAAACATTGCTTAAACAGCTGTTCATGTATGTGTGAACATGGTTATCGCTGTCTGTTTCTTGCCTGGCTCCTTTTGGTGGGTGCAGATCACTACCTAAGCTAAAGAAGAAAGAAAATCCCCAGTTTGACTCAGTTGCAGTGTACCTGATGGGCTGGTAGCTTCTATGCCATCCTCTCCCTACGCTGGGGATACGTTCTCAGATTTGGAGCTGGAAGTACGAGAGTATCATTGATCACATGTACCGTGCTGCAGGGTCCTGAAATTGTATTAACAATGCACTCAGAGACTTCTTCAACCAGAAAAGAGCAAAGGTGAGCTCTTGGTCCCAGAGAAATCAATGACAAGACTTACATGTTTAAAATTCCACACCTTTCTGAAAGGAAGAAGACAAGGGAGATTTGTTGATTTTCTCTACTACATAAAAATCTCTGATCTGCTTTCAAAAATCACTGATATTAAAACATGAATTCACATTATAATGAAAGAACTGCTAACAAAGAAACAGGAAATGAGCAAATCATGCTGTAACCTGGTAAAAATAGATATGGAACAAAGCTTTGGAAAAGAACTTGACAGGTTTTTTAATATTTTAAATTGGAAATGAAAATTAACTGAATCTAAAGCTCTTCGGAGTTTCAAAGATTTCCACATTTATTTTAAAACAAATTAATTTGGTTCAAAAAAGAGCCTTCTGTTTTCGAAATTGCAAAATGACAGACTTTGAATTTTTTTTTTTTTTTGGTCAGCTTGAAGAGCATCAATTTATAATTCATAAAAGCTATAAAAAATATTTCAGTCAACATGAAAATTAATTTTTCTGGCTGTTTCGTTCACAGCAAATTGTGGTTATTTTGACTTTATATCTAAATGCCGACTGGCAAAATGCTTAAGTGCTTAAAAAATCTCTGCAGGATAGAGAAACATTTAGAATCATATATTGGAACCAAGATAGTTTAGTGAGAGACTAAAGCTGTACTCTATTAAGAGTGTATGCATTTAAGCCCTTAAAAATACCTGGAATGTCAGAAAAAATTTCAAAATAATTGAAGTTTAAGTTATCGAAATGCTTCCTCGTTTGGGTAGGTTGTTACTATCCTGAAGTGTTTCCTTGGTAGGGGCAGAAGCACGTTGCACACCCCTGCCATCGCTGTGATCAGTCTGCCAGGAACCAGATCTGTGAAGTGCTGTGCTCCTAAAACACTTTAACTTCAATAATTTGAAGACATTCAAGTATCTCTGAGAATAAATGTAGACAAATAAGAAAATAGTTTCCATGTATTAAGTGCTGGTGGAGGAGAAATGATGGTTCTTATTTTCCATAGGTCTAAAAACTAAAAGGTTCATTCCTTCTGTCTTGTGCTGTTGCCTGTGACACAAGAAGCTAATAAATAAATCAAATGCAATTGCAGCACATCATATGGTAGATATACATTGTCTATGCATCCGTACATGTCATGGTATGTGACTATCCTTAGTGACTCAGCAGTCTTTAGGAGAAGATCAAAGCATCATGCTGCTCAGGCCAGGCATGTGGCTTCAGATGCATTGCACGAAACACTCACATGAGGGTTTTGAAACGTCTCAACCTCCAGCTTCTTCCTCCGAGAGCATTATTTTTTCTTTATGACCGAATCCATACCACCAGAACATGCCCAAGCTCCTGAGTCCTCCTGACTCATCTCCTGGGGAATGAGTTAAGATGTAGGACATGATCAGTCCCATCTGGCCCTCCTTGATTTCCATGATAAAGAAATGCAGGCATGTGGGCTACAGGAAGCCCTCCTGTGCTCTAAACATGTCAGTTAGCAGGGTGCTGGGAGAGCAGGGGTCCTAAGGAGCTCTGCAGCACGTGCTGGAAAGTGTGTCTGCACGCACCCAAGAAAGTGAGGTACTTGGCTACACCAGCCATACCCCACTGGGTGTGAGGGAAGTTTTAGGGTTATAGTTGGTAGTATCCAGAGATGGTTTGAATCAAATGCTGAGAAGACCTCTGAAGGAGGGAAAAGCTCCAGTCTGACAACTTTACATAGTTTCCAGTGTTATTAATGTTGTACCGTTATTGAGAGTCTCTTGGGACTGAGCTTGTTGTATCACACACATATTTATCCTTCAATTCCTCTTGCAGATAGTTCTCATACAAAGCACAGCATGATGTTTCCTTACGATCAGCTCGGTCAGCTGAGAATATCACTTTAATAATACATAGAAATGCAAGCTCAACCTAGATGCTTCAGAAGAGAGCTAGACATGTAACAACAAAGAGACATGATGCTCTACACTTTGTTTCCCCTGTAGCTCTATTTAGCCTTGCTGTGGTGTAACATCAGTAACAAACCTAAGCTCAGTCAGATGTGATGGCAAAACCACAGAGATGTCATGTGCTGTGTAGCCGGTCCCTGTGCAGTTTGTTTATATCATTGCCAGATCATCCGCTCTCTCTCCACAAGCCTCCTGCACATGTTTTATCTAGCTTTCTACACTTTGTCATCAAGCCTAAAGATCTGTAACATAGGCAATGGTACTATCCCACATATTTAAATATTTTATATTGCTTTGGCTCTATGGTAGGAATTGTTGCTTTACTATTGCAAGGCCATTAGCCATTGACCAGCATCCAGCTATGATGTAAATTCATAAAAAAATGAGGAACAGAAGGCCAAGTCTTGGTATAGGCATAGCAAGCAGTTGCCTAGTACAGCAGGTGGTGAAATGACCATTGGCTTCCAAACTCGCCCAGTTGAAGCCAAACTGGCTGTGAATGAAATGGAATTTGGTGTGTGGAAATTTAATGGATGAAAGGTAACATTTCCAAGACCAGTTGTTGCCACCTCCACCTCTTCCTTCTGCTAGAAACAGGAGGAGCATCAAGCCTGTTTTTTTTTTAGAGTTCTCACCACACTCCCTGTCCCTCTTCTTTCTCCCCTCCTGTGACAGGAGTGGTCTTGCCTGGGTACCACCCTGGTCTGAACTTTGATAATAGGTGTTACTGGGAATTCATCTGGCTCTTACTGTGACTGATGAACATTTCGTTAATTACAGTGACATTCCGCATGTAACAAAAGAGAAGTTATTACCTGTAAAGTTTACTTTCAGGAGATAATCTTTGTACAGCTTCCTGCCATCCAGATGTTTCATGGCATCACAGAGTTTGGTGGTGTTTGGACAGAGAGTCCGCTGCATTTTATGCAAGGCGTGGGCCATCGCATACACGGCATTCACAACAAACATGATCTTGGATTCTTGCTCGTAGTTGGAACTGTTGATGGTGAAGTGCTTGTCACAAGCCTTTTTATGTGGTTTTCGGTTCTGAAGGTTACACTGGAATTTTTGTTCCCAGAAGTCCTTGAACCAGGGGTTGCGCCTGTTATTGTAAGGGCTGAGGCTTTGGAAATACCTGTCAAACTCTTTAACTGGATGGGAAGCAAGTTCCAAAGTTATTGCCCCAGAAGCTATGTGCTCATTGCCCTTGACAATGCTCTCTTGTGCTCCCCATCCATCGCTGGCAATCCATGTAAAGGAAACATTGAAGCGGTTGGCAGCTGCAATGAGCTCCCGAGAGTCATCGCCTCTCATGAAGAGCACCACCACTCTGGCGTTGGGTTTCTGGAGCAGCTCTCTGATCACGCCATCGTAGGACTTCCTGATGTTGGATCGGCCGACTTTCTCGGAGGTGGCAATGCAGATGTTGCGGAGGCGAGCTTCCTGCTCAAAGGCTTCAATCCCTGTCTCCCCGTAGTCTCCTTCTGAAGCCACTGTTGACACATAAGTCCAGTTGAAGTACCGTAAGATTTCAGCCATGGCTTTCGCTTGGTAGAAGTCAGGGGGCACCGTCCGTGCAAAATAGTCGTAGCGGGATTTGTCACTCAGCTTGGCGCTGGTGGAGGCATAACTTATCTGGGGGATCTGGAAGAGTCTGAGTAAATTTGCCACCTAGAGAGAAGGGGGAGAACACAGATATTTTCAAGAGTGGTATTTATAAAACTGAAAAGAAAAATCCAGGCAATGGCATAAACAGCGGTTTTTAATGAGGTGTTCTGACGATTGCAAATTAAGGGTGTTGGTAGAGGATGTTGATAACATACCCCGGTGAAAGCAGTGCACTATGCACATGTAGGATAGCTGTTCTCCTGCCCACTTAATTCCCAGAGTCCTACTGGGACTCTAATGGACCTTTTATTTCTGTTGAGTCGAGTCTCTTTAACCCAAGAGAATTTGACACAAATGGACAATATTTCAGACTTAGCTCCTTACTAATGTCTGGAGATTTGCATGCTTTTCCTGTTCATAGTGTGATTCATCTTCTTCAAGACTCGTATTTGATAACCAAATACACTAGCAAGACACAAATTTCTTTCATGCAAATATCACAGATACATGTGTCCAGGCCTTTCACAGAACTTTCTAACTCTATATGAGTTCCCACCTCTCCTACTTTTACTCTTTTAAACTTTTCATTTTTCATAGGTATTCTGGCTACAGTCCTCCTGAGATGGAATATTTGCTGCATATTAGTACTCTTTAAGTGCTGCACAATGTCATGTTCACCTACAGCTTTTCATAAATGATAAAAACTTTTAATAATCTCTAACTGCCTTTTTTTGTGTGATTTATGTTGCCCAAAGTCCTGTTTCTCTTTTTGATTTTTTGCTATGTCCCTTGCTTAAATATTCCCAAGTCTACTCTGTTACTCTCATAGAAGTGTAGCTCCTGATTACCTCTGGAAAGAAATAAATAAAGTTTTTGGCATTTTTTTCCTGTGATTGCTTCTTTAATGACAAAAGGAAGACTTTGGAGTTCTGATCATGGTGCGTGGAAGTTGTGTCCGGTAAATTAAACTTGATCTTGGAGTACAGTCTGACGAAACCATTTGAAAAGCAATAGTGTACTTGAGATTCCCAAGAGAAACTTCTTAAAAGTTGCCCAATCAATTAATTTTTCATATTTTCCCCAAACGTTTCTCTGACCACAAACTACGTCTGTGAGAATTCAAAGGCAAAGGACTGCTTTGAAAAAAATGTTGCAAAACAAGGCAAATTTTGAAGGCTCAGACGTCAGTAGCAAAATAGACAGTCTAGTAAAAAAAAAACAAAAAAATTTTATTGCTTTTCAGCAACCCATGTCTCTTGGGATTTTATAGATTTAGGTTGTGTCTTTTCTGTAATGCAGACACCGGACCAGTGTCCTGCTGTGGCTCAGTCTCCCACTGTAAACTGGTGAAATCTCTTCTCTGGGCCAGACTCTGCTGACTAACCGTATGTGCACAGGGCCTTTCACAATCTCCTGGGCCATCTGAAACAGGGAGCTTCAGGACACCCTTGCCCTCCTGTCCTTCTGGGGCAGCAGGGAAGAGCAGGTGGGATGCCTTGGCATCTCAGGTCTCTAAGTAAGTGTCTGTATCTGGGGAGCTGAAGTATGTCTTCATAAAATCCCCTGAGAGTGGTTTTGGTTTTTTTTAGTTTAAATTAAAATAAAATCTTTTCTGCGTTGCTTGGAAGGAGTATCCTGCCAGGGAGCTTTGGCTACCACCCTGCTGTTTTACCTGTGGGTGTAGGCACGTGGCTGGGAACCGCTGTGGCTGAACAAGTTGCTGTCCATCAGGAAACAGCTGATGTGTCTTTAACCAATCTGCTCAGCGGTAACATGCATTAAACTGCCTTATACTGGAAATATGGGATTTAATTTCCATTGTGGTGATTTAAAATAACAACTTTAAAGCAACAGTGTGAGCTGAGAGGCTTGTTTTTTCACCGAGGTGCAATGGTTGCTGAGTGTTTTTAAGCCACTTTGGCTTAACAGACTTTGTAACTTTTGATTACATGCCCACATATCCACATGGTTTGGTTCACTTGTCCTCACTGAAAAAGAGCACTTTGAGTTGGTAATAAGAATGTCCTCGGTGTAGCTATTCCGGAGCATTTCTTGCAGAACCGTGTGGGTTGGAATTGCTATTCTTGTCTCAGTTTATTCTAGCAGGAATTATTTTATTTGAGCTAAATCATAATAAGGATGTGCACACATATCATTCTACATTTTCTCCCCCAAATTAGCTAAAAGAGAAGTCCATTTTTATAGCTAAAGCAGTGTTATTCAATGTGTAGTCAAGCCTTCAGCTTACAGAAAAATACTTCTAAAAATACAGCAGCTTTTCTATTGTTTCTTTTTATTTCTTTTAGTCTAAGCAGCAAAAGTGTCCATATGTGGGGAGACAGAACTACACCCTCATTTCACAAGGGGATCTTGAGCTTTGGAGGTCGCTGTACTTCTAGAGTCCCTGCAAACTGCCTGTAATTCCGCTTCCTGTGCTATGGGGAGAAGAAAGCTTTCCTGTGGCAATGTTGTCTGTAATGCTCTTCACAGCAATGTTGTCCAGATGGTATGTTTTTCATAGGCCAAAAATAAATAAATAAAAAGAGATAGTTTGATTAATCATAAAGGATAATGACCTAATTGTCCCTGAGAGCTGTGACTGATCATGGAACTCAATGAAGTTGTAGCTGTTATTAATTCAGATGAGGGGACACTTCTGGAAATTGTGAAGTTGGAGATTTTCTGGAACGTTATATCGTCTTGATTTTGGGGACTAATTTTTCAAAAGAGCTCAGGTCTCAGGCTTTTGGCTGATGCAGCCAGTTTCAGAATGGTCCCTTTTTTCGGCCATTTCCATGCTGACCTGATTCTGAAAATCAGAACCTGATCAAACGAGCAACAAGATAAAGGCACAGGTAACAGGTTCTGGAGAGGAGCTGATATCTAAGGCTATGTCTATCCTGCAGTGTCTCAGTGTAGTAGAGAACGGTGCAATGTGAACGAGAGTTATGCGCACTGAGACTGGACCACGTGAGGCATATCCACGCCGTAGCTCCAAGCTGGCTCGGGATGTGTGCTACAGCTTCAGAATTGCCATGTAGATCCAGGTTTTGCTTAGTGAAATAATCTATTTTGGCAAAGCTCCTGGCAGCAATTTAATCAAGCCATGGTGCATGCAATTAAAGCCTGAAATCCTTATGTTGGCACTTAAGTAGCAGTAGTAGCTTGGTTTTTTTTTGCTGTCAAAAGCAGTGGGTTTTGCAGATGCTTAGCACCTTTGAAAACAAGGCTGGATGTTCCGTTGCTGAAACCCTAAAACAATCACTTTGCACCGCTTGCGGTGAACAAAGCATGTCAATATAGTCAGCTTCCAGCATAATGGGAAACCTTTATTTGCCCTCACACTGCTGGGTTTATTAGTGTAGCCACTGTCCTGTGCTAAAGTGACCACTTCCCGAGCAACCCTGGCTCTCACCCAGCTGCTAGGATGGTGAGTGATTCATTAGGAGCTGCCCAACATGAGCACGACAGAAAGTCCAGTGTGAGCCATGTCTTTCCGTGGGGACAGACTGCACCAGCAAATCCTGCAGATGGAGTGGCCAGAGCAGTGCCAGGGGAGACTGATGTCCCTCTCATAGCGTTATAGCCATGTCTGTCACTTCCTAACAACTTATTGCAAGAAGTAGTGAATCAGGTACAGATATCAAAGACGTGAATCTGGTTTCTGAGTATATAGATATAAGGAAGAAATTTTTTATGATGAGGGTGGTGAAACACTGAAATAGGTTGCCCAGAGAGGTTGTAGATGCCCCATCCCTGGAAACAGTCAAGGTCAGGTTGGATAAGGCTTTAGCAACCTGATGTAGTTGAAGATGTCTCTGCTCACTGAAGGGCAGTTGGATTAGATGACCTTTAAAGGTGTCTTCCAACCCAAACCATTCTATGATTCTATAATTCTATGGTTCTATATTTCTGGACATTCAAGAGTCCTGATAATAGATGGGGTCAGGTAGGTGACGCCTATATGTCTCAGAAACTCATATGGATTTACTGAATCCCATCAAGCATTTTGCCTGTCCTCTGTAGGACTTCCTTCGCTGGCAGTAGGATTTATTCTTACGGTTTTGGTTAAAATTTCCCTCTCAATGGCTCAGAGGCTGTTACATGGGTTGTTTGAATGTGTACAGGCCTGGGCAGCACAGGAAACGCTTTGGAAAAAGGTATCTAAAAAGCGTTAGAACAGAAAGGATTTCTTCAACACAATACATATGTACCACACATTTGTTGGACAGAAGAGGCCCCTTGTTAGATGACAGTGCTCTCTGCACTTCTAAGATTTTAACATGCAAGAATCTCATGGCACTTAACGTCGCTTAATTAATCTAATTTCACAGAGCTCCTTTGAGACAGGCAAGAGCTCCTGTGGCTGTTTTGAACAGACAGTAAATTAGGCTGCTGAGCAGAATAGGATTGAGGTAAAGGAGGTTTGTCTCTTGAGAAACTGGAGAAATCCCTGTCTCTCTGCACTGCAATCTGTCCTAATGAAAATTTAGTTGCTGCCTTTGGTCACCTGAAAGAGGTTTTTCTATTCATGAGGATAAGTTACTTGTCTAGATTCCTATAGCAAGACCACAGCAAAGCCATGTCCCAAGAACTTCCTAACGTCTAGATCATTGCTATAACCCAGGAGCTGAACTTTTGTTTTGAAGAGATGTGTGCTGCTGTCAGTGTATGTTGTATCTAGTTCCTAAATCATGACAATTTACAGTGTAGGCTTTTTGTTTTTATTTGAGCAGCTGCAGGTCAAACTACAGCTAAAACATTTGCTCCAGTTAATATGTTTTTTTTTTCTTATTGGAATTTTTTCTTAAATCTAAAAACATTTTACCAAAATTTTGGCAGAAATTGTCATTTTAGAAAAGCGGGAAAGAAATATTAGTTCTGAATGGGCTGGAGTGTGGGTGTGTGTTAAGTGGTGAGCACGAATGTAATGTAAAACATAAATGAGGTACCTGTCTCTAGTCATCTGCCTACACTGGCCTGTACACCTTCCCCATGATCCCAGCTCCTGGCTTGCATTTTATGTTGAATTAGAACCTCTCTTCTTTCAATTTACAACCGTT